CCGTTGCGTATGCTTTAGCTACCATGGCTTCCAGCCTGGCCGATGTCCAATTTGTTGGTGTTTCTTATTTCTGTTTCGGTGTTCCCCTCTCGATCTCTCTTTTCATGAGACGTGAGAAGAGAGATAAAAAGGAGAGCACAACGAAACACCGATGACGAATTCCTCCAGCATGATCACGAAGCTGTTAACTGTTCGGTCTGTTTTACAGAACCCGTTTAAGCGGTAGGTGTTATTACTTGGGCTGCAAGATTAGTTGGTTGTTAGAAATGTGAACATATTGTGAAAAAATTAAAGCCCTGGGCTCGAGGACGGGTTATCCTATAAAAAAGATCCACTTATCATATAAGTATTGTATTGAAAGATATATCTTTAGATGAGGAAAGAACTAGACAAAAGGAAATTCTATAAATTAGAACTGAGAATACTTAAAGGAATAATATTTTAATAAAAAATACAAATATGCTATATTATTATGCTTAAAAAAAATCGAATGAATTAAAAAAAATACAAACAGATTGAACAATGAGGTATTCATCAATTTACCCCTTGAAATTGTAAGGATTGGCCAATTTCCTCCTTCAACTCTCATAATTAGTCAATTTGCACTCTATTGTTAATTTAAAAAATTTTTCATCTATTTTTCCTTTGTAGGTATCTGTAAGACTGCCTTTAAAGGGCAAAAAAGTCATTTTCCCTACACATTCTATCTTCTTCCTTTTCTTCGAACTTTCTCTTGCCATTCCCTTTCTTCAAGCCATGACTACTGCCAACGCCTCCCTCCTCCGCAGTTTGTAGCCCAGTCCATTTGATTTGTTGCTTTTGCAGTTTGCAGCTGCCCACACCCCCTCGCCTCCTCCCTCGACCTTGTCTACCTCTGTTAAGGTGTAGGGAAACCTACTTAATGGAAAATGACAGTAGGGTGCAAATTGAAAAAATGATAATAGGGTGCAAATTGACTTTTTTTGCCCTTCAAAGGCAGTTATGCGGATATCTACTTAATGGAAGAATAAATGGAAAATTAAAAAAATTAACAATAGGGTGCAAATTGACTAATTATGAGAGTTGAGGGGGAAAAATTGTCCAAAATTAAAGTTGAGGGGGAAAATTGGCCAATGATCACAAATTCAAGGGGTAAATTGATGAATAGCTATTGAACAATTGATGCTGAAGAAAACGTGTGGACTGCTTTGTTGTTTTTTTTTAAAATTTTTTTTGTGAGATGGCGACTTTTTTCTTTTGGTTGAAGTTTGAAGTCTAAAGATGGGTGACTAAGAATTAAGTATTTGAAACAAATACAAGTTTGGCATGTGGACCTTTTTTTTTTTTTTTTTCACATTTGGTTTTGCAACCAAACAAAAGGGGAATATAAACATTTTCTTTGTTCACATTTTGTATCATATCAAATTGTTCATTTCACAATTTGGAACTTAGCAAGTAAATTGTGAGTTAGAAATGATTTTCTTGCACTAATTTTTCTTATTTTTGCACACTTTTGTATATTTTTATTCATCAATTTTTGTTTGAGTTATTTAATATAAATAAACAGATGTACGTAATGAGAGAAAATATATGCGTTGAAATCATATTTTGTTTTATAATAATTTGGTTTATCATTATCTCTTAATATTATTCATTGTTCTATGTTTTTTAGAAATTGATGACTATTCATAGCTATTCAAAACAAAGACTTGAATAATGACCACAAGAAGTCGCTAAAGCATGTCGTTCCTCTTCTTTGCATTCAAATTAAAAAATTTCTTTTCGAAATTTAAAAAAAAGGAAAACTAATGAAAATAGTTTGAAAATTTTGAATTTTAACGATAAGGACAAAATAAAGGTAAAATGAATAGTATCAGGATTGATTTTTTAATGTTAAAATGTAATTTTTTTGTTAAAGTGAACAGTACCGCGGATTTTTAGTTAAAATTTTGCTTAAATGATCTTTATCGATTGAGGGGATTTAACAAAGAAAAAGTTGAGAGTATGGCAATTAGCGCGTAAAACACGTGAATGTAAATGAAAGTGGGGCTGGATCTGGGACCAAAACTGACCGACCATCCAATGTGAAAAGGAAAAGCACGAGTTCGGTTCGGTCGGGTTGCACACTTGCCTACCAAGTGTCTTCATCACCTTCTTTGAACCTACTTCATAAGATTAAGCGCGACAAAGTGAAAGAAACTTCCTCACAGCCGCGTGTGGTCCCCACACTGGCGCGTCTGCTCTTATTACCGCCAAAATCTTTTTGTTTTTGTGTTTCACTTTTACAAACCCCTATTTTAAACCACCTCTTAATATACTGGTGTGAAAGTTAAATTTGTGGTCAGAAGAGGTTGAAATGTCTTTATGAGTTGTTCTGATTTTTGGAATCAATGGATAACCGTGGTTTGTCACCAGTTGTCTTCCTTTAAAAAAAAAAAACACCTTAATGTACCAAGAAGAAAACTTTGAATTCAAGCTCGATGCCATGAGGGCGGAATACAATTGATTTTTTTTTTTGGTCAATAGGAATACAATTGATTTAAGTAGGGGTGGGCTCGAAAAATTGAAAACGAAAAAAAAGTGGTCACCGTGTTGGGACCAAAAAAATTAAACAAAAGAAAATATAACTGAATTTAAAAAAAATTAATTGAATCGGACCAAAAACTATTGGTTTGGTTTTTGTTTTAGAGGTTCAAAAAACAAACTGGACCAATGAAATATAAATTAATATTGTAATTTATTAAAGAATAAGATAGAGATTCATTTTTTGTGTCCAATTTCAAGTCAACAAAATCCTACAAAGATCAAATTTCTTACAAAGTAAAAAAAAATCCAAAAGCCTAAAAAGCTTTAGCCTATCTTCCATTTTGTTTTTAAGGAAAACTAACGAAAAGTCCAAAAACACTTTAATTTTAATGAAAAATGACAAATAAAGGTGTATTGAATAGTACTAGAGAAAGGTAAAAATGTGATTTTTCGTTAAAAGTGAACAGTACCGGAAGTGTTCGTTAAAACTCTTTTTTTTTTGTATCCCCTTCCCGTCTCTCCCATCTTCTTCCTCTGCAACTTTTATTCTCTCTTTTCTCCCATCTTATTCTTTGAAAAAAATTATAACGGCTAAAGAACCGTAACATTAAATAATATAGCCTTTGAATTCACATCCATTTTTCATAAGAAGCACTTGAATTTTAACTAAAACCAATTTCATAAGAGAGTTCCTTACAAAAACATGGTCAAATTTAGGAACCACTTTACATAAAAAAAAATATGTCATTCAATTTAATCATATTATATGCCAGTGACGTAATCAACAAAATATACAAGCAGGGAGTAGGACTCTCTACCCTTCTATTCCCATCTCCTTCCCTCTCCTCCTCTCACACATTGTTTTTTTGTCTTATTATCTCTATAAAAAAATCAATATAAAATGTTGACGTAACTTAACCGTGACCATTCAAATAGGAGGGGATAAAATGGTAGAAAGATTATGAGGGTTTAGGATTAACGTGGCTTAACCGTGTCTTATTATTTCTATAAAAAAATCAATATAACAATGTAGAGTCATAAGTTGTTCTTGACTCGATAAATTAATCATACCTAACTAGTTGGTTTCCGCTGTGGCGCCATCTTCCACTCATCATAAATCCTGCCTTGCACAACAAACGTATCATCATTCATCACCCATCGTTTCTGGACCACCCATCGTTTTTGGAACCACTTCTATTTTTAGAACGATATAAATGAGGGCTAATAATTTCGTATTTTTCAGATAATAATTGCATCCCTATCGCGAAAACGATTCCTCCTAATAATATCTGTATATTTCCTTAAAAATAAATAAAAATAAATAAATACTAGTGATGGCTGAATACTTTCAAATCGATTCTCGTTAGCAACAAAATACGAGACACCTGTCCAATTTAATTAATTAATTAATTAATAGCTGTCAACCAAAGAAGAGATTTTTCAGTATAATCGTTATACAATAGGTATCGTTATATAAATAGTGAATTATGTGTGTTAAAATGTTAATAGCTTAAAAATTAAAATTTTATATCGCTTACATCAAGACAAATGATGTGCTATTCGTGTTCTGGTTCGTAACTAAAAATTTCTTTCAACAAAAGAAGGGATCTCCGTGTAACTTGGGGCTCACGTCATTTTCCATTCAGGCGGTGTCCGTGCCCCAGTCCTTTTTTTTTTTTTATTGTTGTGGAAACCGTGCCCCAGCTCTTTAATCTTTCCATTTTCTCCATTTGTTTGGTCCCCAAGCCCAAGGGGATATATCTCTACCTATTCACGGAATTCCCATTTTGCCCATGTCCTTATCAACATAATTGCTCAATCAAATAAGGTTTTCTGTCTTATGATTCAAAGTTTATAATAAAAAAATATATATATATTAGTAGTTTTAGCATATGAAACTAATGTGACTAATTGGTTGATAAAAGAGTTACGTCAATTTTAAAATTTAATTTTCTACATGTTATCAGCATAATTGACTCACAAGCTCTATTTTAAGATTCAATGTGCTTTTATTAACAATTGATTCTAAATATTTTCATTAAATGTGATTTCAGTCATTTTAAAAGCATTTTCAAACAAGTTATATAATTATTGTTCTCTAAGAGTCGAATCAGCATTGTGACTTGGGAACAAGGTTAGAATATTTCCAAGATGTACCAAACAAATACCAACTTGGAAAATAAAAAGTCCTTATTTTTCACAAATTTGAAACTTTAAGCAACAACCGACGAAGAAGCCAATTAGGAACCAAATTGTTACTAATGACAGGTATTTACGTTAATTAAGAAACAAAATCCAGCAGACAACAAATCACCATAAACAAGTTTAAGAACACAAACCTCATTACCATCCAAATACAATTTCCACCTTATCCATTTTCCCTCGATTATTTCGGTGGGAGCGCCCCAGGATTTCTTGGTCCCAAAGCTAGCACCCAGGGTACTTCCGTCATTTCCCACCACTCTCCTCCCCCTCTATATATGTTTGGTTCCAATTCCTATCCCATTGCTTTCGTTCCGGCCACTTTTTCTCTCCCTCTGAAAAAAATCAAATCCAAATTTCACCAAAAAAAATCACATTTCTGAATACCAAAATCAAATTTCAGAAAAAACCCAACAGTTCGGAACATTTTAATTTTAATTTTATTAATTTATGAGATTTTATTTCGGATTTTTGAGAGATTACGAGGCTTTGTGGTTAAATTTGCAGCTGGCGGTTGAGGTAGGTAGCTAGGGCTTTTGGGAGGAGGAATATGATCGGGTGCGGCGAGCTCTAACGTTGGATTTAAGAGATGATTGCTATGCGCTAGGAAGAGGAAGGGTCGTGGTGATCGTTAGAGAAGAAACGACGGCATTTTGGGGGGTGGGAATGGACTGCCGGGTGGTGTGCATGGCGGGCGGCGACGTTTGGGTGAGGGGTCAGATCGGAGGGGCTTTAAGCCACGAGAGCGAGCACGACCTCGCTCTCATGGTCACTGATTTTTGGGAAAACGGTAGCGTTGGAGCGGAGTCTTGGTGTAGCAGCGACAGCGATTCTGCTCTCTCCGATCTCGGTCGCCTCGCCGATAAAATTCCGGTACGAATTATATTGCTTGCTCGTTTTGTTTTGTAAATTTGGAAACTCAAAATTAATTGCTTGTTTGTTAATTAAGTTTTTGACTAACTTCTAATTTGAGTCAAATTTTTGAACTTTCCCTAAATTCCCAAATTTTAAGAGTTGGAAAGTTGAATTCGGCTTTTCGAATTCGAAAGCAATGATTTTTACACCCACTTTTGATGTCCAGTTTTGGGTTTTATTTTGGTTCTGCAATTTCATATGGCTGAGTTGTTCAGCTTCATATTTTACCCATAATTTGTTTTGTAACTTATAAACTTCAGAGTATTTATTAATTTTTCTTTCTATCAAATTCGAATTTGAGTCAAATTCTTGTATTTTTGCTAAATTTCCAATCTTTTAAAAAAGTTCGAAGTTGAATTCAGCTTTTGTAATTCGAAACCGATTATTTTTACACCCAATTTTCATGTCCAAATTTGGGTTTTATTTAGATTCTTCAATTTCATGTTCTGCCCATGATTTTTGCACAATTTTGAATGGTGGTATGGGATTGGGATTGCAGTTTTTCAAGCGTTCAGTGGCTCAGTACGAAAACGATTTGACGTCTGTGGTTCATTCTCTGATACTGTCCATCAGCGAGAACGATCTTAATTTTGTGAAGTCAGGTCAATGCAATTCCAGCTGCATCAAGTTTGATCTGGTTAAGCTTCTGAGGCTGTCTGGTTATGATGCTGCCGTGTGCGCGGCTCGGTGGCAGGGCACTGGCAAGGTCCCTGGAGGTATGCTATTCGTCTCAATTCTGCAGAAGCTTAATTTTATAGAATTTGGGTTGTTCTTTCCTGCTGTTGTTCTGTCGTTGGGTGCATGAAACCCTTCTGTTTATATCTGCTCCCTGTCTGAGATGTAAACCAAACCCCGACCAATATACGGTACTGTGATCCTACAAACTATGTTCAGAAATCAGTACAAAATGTTTCATAGGCTTCTGACTTTGTCTGCTCAATTAACCTGGTCCTATAGGTTTCTGATTCCATTTGAGGTGTGGTAATTCTCAAGTTCTATCATTTTGAGAGTTTTTTTTGTCCGTATCGTCTTTTCGCAGGGGATCATGAATATATTGATGTGGTGAACTACAACAATTTGGGGAGCTCTGAGCGCCTTATCATTGACCTTGATTTCAGAAGCCACTTTGAAATAGCTAGAGCGGTTCAATCGTATGATAGAATATTGAACTCACTACCAGTTGTTTATGTGGGCTCCTTGACTAGGCTGAAACAGTATCTTCAAGTTATGGCCGAAGCTGCTAGATCTTCCCTCGAGCAGAACTCGATGCCTCTACCTCCGTGGAGATCACTCGCTTATCTGCAAGCGAAATGGGAATCTCCGTACCAGAGACAGTTTAATATAGACGAACAGAATGTCAACGGTTCCTACAATTTTGACCACAAGCAATGCAGTGCGCATTTGAAGATGCTGCAGTCTCTGCTTCAGTCTGAAATTGAAGCAGATAGGCTGTTGAAGCAGATAAACAACGATCATATTAGGAAGCACAAGCCCGATAGGCGGAGGCACTCTTTGTTCAGGACTCACTGAGAATGTACACATTTTCGGGCCTTGAGGCGAGAGAGGGCTCTTGGTGAGACAATTGTATTGCGGCTTTTCAGATTTTTTTTCCCAGACCTTAAATAAGCATGAATCTCCGATTCAGAACGAAGGCAGGTTCATATAGCCAACATGAATAGCAATAAGTCATACTATAGTTGATAAATTTCCACTGTTCGTTCTTGCTGGGGAGTCTTTCATGATTCTTTTACTTACTCTGCACTCGCGTCAAGCAGCACCACCGGGTTTTCGGAATTGCTGCAGGTTCAGTCCAGCAGCATCAACGGCCGATCAAGGCGGTACAAGTTCTTGCTCGACTACGATGCATCAATTTTCCCATTGTATCTGTTTTTTGTTCTTTGTTATCCTCTTGAATGTATCCCTTTCCCCTAATTTTTCTGGGCCAAGGAAATTTTGTCACTGTTATCTTTTTTCTGTTTTCCATTTCTGCAAATGTTGAGTTCATAACTTCCCCAGCAGAACAACTTTAATTTTTTTTTAACCCTAATAATGATGTTGATGTATTGTTTTTTTTTTTACACAGGCAGATTTTGTTTTTTCTTTATGTCTTGTGTATCATGCATGACATGTACCGGGGCCATGTTTTTATGTTTCCGGTATCCTGAAAAATTCTCAAATAAACCAAATGATGATAATATTAAAGGAGTTTTAACGAAATTTTTTTGATACTGTTTACTTTTAACGAAAATGATATTTTTACTTTAAAAAGTCGTTCTTAGTACTATTTACTCACAACAAATTTTTGTCATTTTGATTAAAACTCAAAAGTTTTCAAGACAATAATTTTCCTTAATATTAATCCATAAAAGTTTATAACACAATAACATTGCCATACATGAACAAAATTCATATTAGATTTCAATAGGCTCATCTTCTCTCTTTTTTTTTTTGGTTACAAAGGGGACAAAAATCCAGTTTGTTACGCTAACAACTAATCTTGACCTAATTATAAGAAGGCCATTACAGTCTATCAACTAACTAATCTTGATTGGGGAATCCCCAATCAAGATGATACCCATTCAGCTCTAGTTTTCAATCACTTCGTGCTTTCTAGTCCAGGGTTTTACGGGGGATCGTAATACACCTGCCATAAAAAAATTCAATAGTAGATTAATTAAAGTACAGGTAATAAAGCTTCTTCGGAAGTAGAATACTGCACAAACTACATGTGTACACACACACACACACAAGAAACTCTCTCACGTTGTGTGTATACAACGCTTTTTAATTGATTACGTAATCAATATGTAAAATATGACTGAGAGAGAGAATTCTTCATGATTACGTGACTAACTCTCGGGTATAAGAAATGATTGTATGTTCTCCTTTTATACATAATTTTGAGGAAAGAAAAAAAAAATTATTATTGTCAATCCACAAATTTCATCATATATAAATTCCTCCCTGGTTCATAAGAAAAATCATAAAGGAAAATCATCTTAATTGCAAGTTCCCTTAACAAACCTCAATTTCAAAAAACTCCCTTCAAAATTTTTAATATAAAAAGATTTCCATCATAATCCTTTAAAATTTCGAAAACAATCAAAACATGAATGTTAGAAAAAAAAAACAATAAAATATCATGACAAAGATGCCAGATCACATAAGGTGATAATATGGAGGCTTACCCTGTAGAGCCGACCGGTATGCATCATGACTCTTTCCTCTATGATCCAGTCAGGAAGTAGCCATATGTATCTCTGGTAAATCATCGATCCGATCTTTGAGAATTGCACACATGTCAAATTCTCCAGAGCTATCATCATATTCGCCTTCGCCTTGGTCATCAGATGTCTCAAAATCTTGCATTATGTTCCTTGTTGTAAATCAAAACCTAAAGAAATTATAAATCATTATACGTCTTGTTCGTAAACATGTACAAAACACACCAGTCTTGGGTTCTTTTTTAGATGAAGTGGAAGGATCTAGAACATTGATTTGAAAATACGGTGGGCGTAAACTGTGTGCGATTTAAAATTTGATACGCATTATCCAGTTTTTGTCTTTCAAACCCGTTTAGCAACTGCCCATCTTTATCTTTATATTAATTGCTGGATATCAAAATGAATCATTACAAATGAACTCAAACAAATTTCACATACGTTTTGGTATGTGACATTACTATTCCTAAATATATATTTTTTCCTTTTAGCCAAGACTTCTTTTCCAAACAATACTTGGGGACTAAATGCGTTTGAAAGACCAAAATATCCTTTCACCCAGACCCAATCAAAATGATTAAGGAAAGGATAATATGCTTGTGTCTTCCATGGGGGACTTGACCCTCCACTTACGACTAATAGAAGATGTTCATTCTTTTTGTCATCATCTATGATCATATCTACAAACAATCTTTCAATGTGGAGATATTTTAGCCACTCTAATTCATAAAATAAATGGATGGTTCATCATGAGACATGCACTTGTTACCAAAACTATTGATTGGTTTAACATGTATGGATGACTAAACGATCTCCCAATTGAATGATTTTTTGCAAGTATGATTTTTAGATGATGGTAAAGAGGTTCGAATTATGATATTCAGAAGGTAAAAGTTTATTAATCATAAGTGGATGGACAAGTAAGTCCCCCATTGGGGGGATCCAAGCATTATCCATAAGGAACCATATTTTCTTTGACATCTTTTGGTCGAAAGTCTAGTGCAAAATATTTTCGGTAGAAACATTCTCATACGAAATATTTTCATTGGAAACATTTCCACTTTCTCGTTTGAAACATTTCTCAGCCGAATAGATGGAACAAACATATTCATGAGTTATGGAACACAAACATATTTTCATTCAAAACATTTCCACATTCTCATTCCATCTAGCGAACCGCCTAAATTACACTTTCATTTACAGTTGTTTATCTTTTCCACAAATTGGAAATAAGCGGGGATGCAGGGATTGTGACTTCTGAGATTTTGTCTGCTCAATTTTTCTGGGTGTTATAGATTCAAGATAATGAAAGCGCTTACTATGTGGTACTTCATGATCTCTAATCATCACGCCTATCTCATTTGGACCTCCACTCCCATTATAGTTGTACTCCATATACTCTGTCTTCGTTAGAGTTTGAATAATATATATATATATATATATTTATTTTTTTTGGTCAAAGAATAGTATAAAATTGGTTGAACAAATTTTTTGATATTCACAAACATCAAGAAAACAAAATATACATACTAAGTACAATATTCAATCATGCATATCTTAGAAGCCATAATCTACATTTGATGGGATTTGATCTACACTAATTTAGGATAGTACCTATTTTACAATAATGATAATATTAATATCACAATGATATTTTCTTAATAGATAGGAACCCTAGGCATGAGAATGCTAGGAAGACTAAATTTTTAAATCAAATTTTGTAAACTAAATGATGTGGTTGTTGATGATTGAATTATTAGTTAAGCGTTGATTAACGTGCTTATTTGTTATTAGTGACACATTATTTAATTTGCAAATTTAGTCTACAAATTTAATCTCCTTAGCATTACTCTTATATTATTCATTGCAATGCAAACTTTCATAAGAACGCTGTAATTAAAAAGGAGCATGAGAGCAGGGGGGGTCGCTGCTGGAAACACTAGTAAAAAAAACACTTTGCGTGACGTACGTACATTCGACGGTAGGGGTTTGCGCGACGAATAAATAACATGCGTCACGCAAAGCCACTTTGCGCGACGTACGGACTATGTCGTGCAAAGTAATTTTGCGCGACGCACGTGCTACGTCGTGCAAAGTACTTTTACGCGACGCGCGTCGTACATCGTGCAAAGTTTTTTGCACGACGCATTGCCTACGTCGTACAAAGTACTTTTGCGCGACGCACGTCCTACGTCGTGCAAAGATACTTTGCGCGACGCACATCCTAAGGCGTGTGTCACGCAAACCTTTTTTTTTTCAATTAGCGAAAAATAATTAAATTTTTTTTTTATAAATATTGTAATTAAATTCTAAAGAATAATTAATTAACCAAGTAAAAGTATTTAATTATAAAATATATGAAAATGTACATACAAGATGTCCGAACAAAAAAGAAAAAACTATAAGTGAACTAGGTTTAATATATCAGGCTACTGGGTATCGACAAGGCAAGGTGGCTCTGAGGTTGAAGGTGGAGCAAGATGAGGTGCTGGTAGCGAGATTTGGAGGCCGGACATTTGTATGGCTTGTACAAGTTCTTGCACCCTCCCGACACAGGTCTTCATCTCCTCACCTTGGGCCCTCAGCTGCGTGCAAGAAAACAAGATAACTAAGGACCAGCAACATGGAGACGATTAAAGAAACAAAAGGCAAGATATGATTATGAAACATAACTTTGCAAATAAAAAGAATGTAAAAAAAAAACAATCCACACCTTTAAGGATTGCTAGAGCAAGGATCTCAAAGAGTAATGTTACCGTTACAATGTACAAAATGAACACCTGCACAATCAAGGTAGACAAATTATTAACAGTGGAATCAACATAAATTACAAAAAGCAAAAATCAATGTTTGCATTCTGCACTGTATGATATATTAACAGTGGAATAAACATAAATGACAGAAAGCAAAAATCTATGTTTGCATTATGCATTGTATGATATATTGTCAAATGGTGGAAGTGAGACAACATTAGTAATTAACAACCACCCGCCGCATACAACTATGTATCTTTGCCGTAGTCAATTTTTCATTTCTTCGAAAAGGAAACTTAACCCTATACATCAGGTTTGTCTTTGAAGATCTAGAAACAATAAGCAAGTTGTTTTGCCACTCATATGTGCACAATCTGCAGATTATTTTTAATTTTCGTTCTTTTAATACTCAAAAACAGTTCAAAGAGCAAGAAAAGGGTTTCAAATGACAACCTACAAACAAACTAATATACAATTATTAACATCAATCTATGCAAGAGAAAGGCCATTCTATTGCTAAGAAAACAAAAATAGAATGGACCTGGTTAGTAAGAAAAAGGCTGGTTCAGAGTAATTGATAGGTCCAGAAGCTTAGAGACCTCACCGAATCCAAATACCGGAAAGGAGAAACAGAGACAGAAGAATCACTTCCTTGTGCCAGCAAGTGTTAAAACATTTATCAACATCTGCTCAAACTCTTGCCACAAGAGTTTACATTTGTTAGCATAAGTGGTGACTTGCAGGCAATGACAATCAATCCCAACTCTTGGTAGTAGTGTTACTATTGTTGTTACTATTACTGTCTATCTAACTTGCAAAGTAAATAAAATATGATGTTTTAGTAAACCACGCCTAGCGATATTTTGTATCATGGTTAGCGTGGTTTCTTCCTAGCACACAAATCACACACCAACTTATACTTTGTTGTTAGTTTAACTCACTCAAGGCAAGTCTCCCCACGCTCAAATTGCAGTTATAATAGTTTATAGATGAGCCTATTGTTGCTTATTGTAGGTATAATACCCCACCCAAATCCTACCAAAACTAATAGTTAATGTGTTGCTTAATTTATAAATAATACATTTTTTTGTCAAATAATACTTTTATTACCTTATATATGATTTTATTATTTTTAGGCTAAAACTAAAAATGGTAAATTAATACATAATTAGGTTCCTCCTACTCCCCATGCTTTTTACTCTATTCGTTCAAAACAAAAAAAACCTCTACCCTATTCCACAAAGCTACGTTGCTTTCCCAAGAAAAGAAAAACTATGAATCACCATCAACTTTTTTGGGCCCTGGTTAAATTGGGCTCTGGACGGTCGCCCAACCGGCACTAGGTCAGGGTCGGCCCTGAATCCAAATAGCTCTCTCTCTCTCTTTCTTTTTTTTTTTTTTTTTTTGCTTTGAACAAACGATAGCATCTACATCGAAGGGTGTGAGAGTAGGCTAAGCCTCACACTGGGTTAGACATAATAATGTGGTTCAAATTCGCATTTGACGAGAATCAAACTTAAAACCTCTTACTTATAAGTGATGAAGATGAATACCACTAAACCATAATACTAAGTAGCCAAAACTGAAGCCGCAATTTTGTCTAAACTCGCTGGTTTTTCACAAAGAATTCAAACCGAGGACAACGACAGTAATCATAAAATCTCAATGCTGCGGCAGTACAAGAGGTAAAACTCACAAGAGAAAGAAGACCCGAACGCGAAATAGAGAGTCGAGAGCAGTGCTTTTTTTTTTTTTTTTTTTATTTAAAATCCGTACAGATTCATCATGCACAAGCGTCTCAAAAAGACTTTCGAATCCCTAGGGTTTCATGACGCATCCAAGCATCCCGAAACAGATTTTCAATCCCCAAGGATTTGTTTGGTGGTCTAAATTACCACCTAATATAAAACAGCAGGTGGAATGATCTTCGTGTTCAGAGGCTCTCTTTCAAGGAGTTTCTGTTTCTTTTATGCGCACACACTTGCATATTCAAGAAATAAATAAAAATGATGCGGATGTGTAGAGTGTAGAGAACAAAGAAATGAAGGAAAGTGATGAAAACCATTACCTGAAAATATATACAGAAAGGAGGAAAAGCGAATTTGATTATGCTAGGGGACAAAGGTCCAGTTAATACACTAACAAAAACTAATCTTGACCTATTTATTAAGAAGGTCATTACAAACAATCAACTAACCAATCTACTTTGTATAAAAAAATTAAAAAAAAACTAATCTTGATTGAGGATTCATTAATCCTCAATCAAGATGATGCCCATTCGGCTCCAGCTCTCAATGACTTCGTGCTTCTTAGTCCAGGGTTTTCCGGACCGATCATAATAGACCTGCCATAAAAAATCAATAATAAAGCCTCTTTGGAAAAAAAAATGCCACACAAACTACAAAATGAGAGAAAATTAAAGCTTTTTTTGTTTTCTTAAAGAAAATGTTGTGATTAAATTTACACATCGAAGGGGAATGTGAGCTCAATCCAAAGGAAATGATATAAATATATAGTTATCCAAGAAATTTTACCACAGTATATATACAACGTTT